ATATCATTTATTCCGTTCATTTCATCAAAATTGCTACGCATCATAGTTTGTACAGAAACAAATGAATCACACTTATACACAGAAAGATACAAAGTTTTTGGGTGAGGCGATTTTATATTTTGGCATATCAGAAGGCAAACGTCCAGTTGTTCGTTCACTTGCTTCTGATGACGATGGACGTTCAATAGCCAGGTTGAAGTCGTGGCGGTGGACAATGTGAACAGTCGCCTGGAGCTCCATCCATTCCCGGTAATCCAGGCTAAAATAACACAACATCTCAACCCCAATTCCTGAATCAGGATTTCCCAAGTGTAACTTCCGGATAATCGGTGCTGTAAAAACGATATCGACTTGAGAAAGCTATTTTTCTCTACAAAATTGGGAACAAAATCTTGGTGACTGACCGGACCCATCATTCCATTGCAGCCATCCGGACCTCTCAATCCTTTTGGCCCCGGTAAGCCCGGTGGGCCAGGCATTCCATCTTTTCCAGGTGGACCACATGGTCCTGGCAAACCCATCGGGCCAGGTAACCCTGGTGGCCCACGCGGTCCTCGTGGTACCAAAACCTTAACCAATGTTCCAGGCGGTCCACACACTCCTGGCGGTCCCATTCTTCCCCTTGGACCTGTAGATGAATATCACTGAAGACTAGTGATATTCTTTTCATTTTTTCTATTGGCAATAATGCAATGCAATCGTAACAACGATAGTTATTCTACAAAGATGCTCTAATGTTATTCCAGTGAAATTGTTGATTGCTACGTTGTTACTACTATAATAACTCAAACTTATTCCTTAATCAAATCATGTTTCTTAGCTACGCTTCGACAAACGAGAAAGAAAGCGTTAAGCAATATGAATATGCATTATGACACACACTAAAAACGGATATCTGCAAAAGGTAAATGTTACACGCGCAATACAACTGTAATATTACTTGCGATTTCCTTTTGCAATAGGGATTTGCATTTCATTGCACAGTTGATCAGAAGAAGATAGCTACACAGCGCTATGTTCAAAACGGCAATAGTCGCATAATGAATGCGCATTCATATAGACAGATTTCTGACTATTCTAATCGAGTTTCTTAGGCTACACGGCAGCAATTGAAAAAGAAAGCGTTAAGCCATATGAATTTGCATTATGACACAAAATGAAAACAGATATCATCTGCAAAGGACAAATGCTACACACACAATACAACTGGAATATTACTCGCGATTTCCTTTCGCAATAGAGATTTGCATTTCATTGCACAAGTCTTCAATTTTTCACGAACACAAAGGCATCAATAAACACATTTTCACATGCATACCATTATGCTCCACCTAATTAATATGAATAAATAACAGAAATTTTATTTGGACGTTAGAATTTCTCTTGCTCCATCAAAATTAATGGTCTCATAGTGTAACTCGTTACAAGCACCAGTTCTCCTCTATGGCAATCTCTATTCCGGAGCACTAATCTGGATTGTACTTACCCGGTAGTCCCGTTGGACCTGGTTCACCACACTCGCCGCGATTACCAGGAACACCGTCTATTCCTGGAGGTCCAACGCGTCCTGCCGGACCTCTTGGACCCATAGCTGAAAACATGTTTGATTCTGAACAAAGAGAATAAGCTGAATGTCTATTTTTCAAATTAGTTCACAATTTCAATTCAGTTTTCATTAGGTGCTCTCAAGATTAAACGATTTTCTTTGGAGATACACTGTGTACAGGTGACAGCTTAAGCATGGTTCACGTTGAGTGATCAGATATGAAGAAAACATGTTTCGTATCGAAGAAGATCCATCTCGTATTGAGTGCAGAGTTCTTCTTGAAGTAAGAGAAATTGAATCCAGACAACAACAACAACAACACAATCACGCACGTCCACGTGGTCCAGCCGGAGCTTCGGGGCAAATGAATTGCCATTCGATGTTGTCGGTAGTGACGGGAGGTGCATCCTGCCCTGGAGGACCTGGCTCACCGGGTTGTCCATCTTCTCCAGGCTCACCTAAACAATTTGATCAGATAAACGAAATTGGAGTTAAGGTAAGACTTTCAGAAGTCACGTTTTTTGCTGTCATAAGCTGAACAATACGGTTGAAGTTTTGGGAAGAAGGTAAAACGCATAATCAATCGCAATGCCGAATGATAGAATTATATGAAATGTTTGGTCCAAAAAGTTCTAAAATTTCTTATCCTACAGCAGACAACATTCATCTGACTGTGCCTGGATCGCCTGGAGGTCCAGGAGGACCTGGTGGACCATGAACACAAGAGCAGCAAATTATAGTGGTTGGACCGGCCATCCCAGTTGATTGCTTTATCTGAAACAAACGCACCTTATTGGTATGATTCTAAAAAAGTGAAACCAATGAAGCAAATGACTAAAATCAAAGCTTGCAAATCTGCGATCATATTTGTGATCACAGCTATCAGTTGTTTGATGAGTTTTTTTCAGCTCATCAGAACCATTCGCACAACTAATTAGCTAACATTTTTTATCCTCATTAATTTTCATAATTCAGTTGAAATATTCAACAGATTCTACAATGAATCATTCAGTTTTGAACCATTAATTATATCCAGTTCTCAGAGCATCAACCAGCTTGTAAATTCGAGTTCACTAACAATTACGGAATGGAAAAATGCGCTGATTTTTTAAAGATGTATTTGAAGAAAGTGAAATAATGAAGATATAAATTATAAAAATATTTTGAGCAAATGGAAGGAAATATTTCATAAGCAACCGGTCTTGTTGTAGCATAACCGTCGTTATCTGGTTTAATAACGGTCGACATGTGTTGTTGATTGTCTTTATATTCATCATTGCCATCAGCATCTGCTTGATGACTCTCTCGTTTCGTTCGTTCAAGCGATACAGTTTGCTCGTTTTGGAGTTGATCGCGTTGCACCTCATCAATCTGATCCCATAGCAGTTTCGAACGTTGATCGCAAAAAGTTATTTCATTCTGCAATTTGCAAAAAAAAAAGAAAAACAATAGAACACTATATGAGGCTGAATGGATTTATGAAATGCTGCAATATGTCAGTGCTTGATTTTGGCTTTATGAAGACAGAGTGGAAGAAACGGGTTAGCAACAATTGCAACCTACCGAAATTTGCGATTGGAGTTGATTGGCAAGGCGAAAAAGCGTCGGCACCACAATGATTGATGTGAGCACTGAAACGATGCCCAGAGCCGAACACAAAAATGCTAACTGAAAACGAAAACCACTAAAGATTTGTGTTCCAATTGTCCAAATTTCCGAATGCACAAACAAATTCACTGATGTATTTGGTTAACAATTGTCATCACAGATCAAGACAATTTACGGATGAGGAAGGAGGATAAATAAACAATAGGATAGATGTAATCGTGCTCTAAATCAATATTCTGAAAAAAATTCAAATATTTTTCGAATTCATGCAAAGCTTCATAAATATTGATNCTGAAAATAAGTTTTTCAACGTGAAGTTGAAACGAAGAAATATGTTTAATGTCAACTATCTGCGAAAGAGTTCATCCTTGCTGCAGTTGCAGCCCAATTGAAATCGTTATCGTATGAAGGTGATAAGTCATAATTCCAGAGTTTCACTTTATTTTTGCTTTCTTTAACCACTATGGATGAGTATCTGACTGAATAATTTACAACAACAAGAATCTATCGTGCCTGAAACAGTTTTGTTGAAACGACAAGAGGGTCTGTTTCGATTTTAAAATAACTGCATCGATCTACGTGAGATCTATGTACTGTTTTTACAGGTAACGGTGCAAGACAACTCAATAGATTTAGTGCCGAGAACAGCTGGAAAATCTTAGTGGGGAACAGATAGCGTAGACATTTGTGGACGAAATGTTTCGAAAAAAAATGAAGAAGCTATCAGCGGAGAGCCTACCACAAGGAACTAAAAGTATTGCACTGACGGATTTCGATTCACTTGAGATTCACTGGAATTGGGAGCAAGTTGAAAAATATAACGGGTTGTCTAGCGAATGAGATACAATTATAAGATATCGACGGTGTGCTATAAAGTCTGCACTTCCGCACGTGTTCAATTAATTGAAACATGTTGAAAAAGTTGGCTCAATCAATGAATTTTGCTTAAAATGTGGTTAAATTCGGTCTAAAAAATTTAGTGATATCCGCTTGAGAACAGAAAATGTTTCAAAAACAAGATTTCAAGCTGATATGTTGTTGTCAGAAATGACGAACCTACAGAGAAGCTCAAACCTGTTGCTAGCGAGACTCCATGTAGCAAGAAGGAATAAGAGAGTTTAAGATTAATAATGTCTTTAATCTGATGCAAAATTAGCGGTGATACGCGATGTTAGGGGTGATATCAGCAGATAAAATTTCTGGTTTGAAAAATATAGTGTGCGCGATAAATTATTTGAGATAAGTGTCGTAATATCAAGAGATGAATGGAACTGGTCTACCATAAAATAACCACTGAAGAGCTCAATTATTTCGAATTTGATGACTGAGGGGATTTGAAGAAAGCGTTTCTAAACCATTTATAGAATTTCTAATTAAATTATAATCATACGACTGAGCAATAAATTTTTAATGAAATTTGTAATAATTGGGGCAAACTTGAGATCGTTTAAATTGATGGATTTTGATTTAGTTGTTACGTCAGTGTATGCTTAGTCAATTAAATGAATCTCATTATGTAGTTCATTTCCATGGCAATTAAGCGATAATTCAGTAGCATTTCACACAAAAAGATGATGCGTTTTCATTTGTTAGGTTGTTCGGTTCATGATTCCGCACTAGACGCTTCTTTCCTGCACTCAGTTGAGGCTAACATTCATAGCGAGGAATGGTGCGTTCTCATTTATATCATCATTTCATGGAATGCTGTTGCAGTTGTTCCATCCATCCCAGACTTCCTCCTCAGTTCGGCAAATGCTTCAACACTGATAAACGAATCTCGTGGAATTCGTTTTGAATTTAGTTTCCATATCCTGGATTAAACGAGATCGAAAGAGCTATTTGAAACTGACGTGAACAAAAATCGGATTTCAGCTGCAAAAATGCAAGGATCACTTCGTAAGATTGCAATCGAATGGCTCATTTTGGCTGCGCTTGGCATCACGATGGCGCTGATTTCGTTAGCCGTTGATACAGTCGTTGGTTATATTCAAATGAGTCAGCAATNTTTGATCCTTCAAATGATCAAATATCAAGCTCTCCCGAACGAGAAACGAACAGTTCACACAAAAAAACATTCATGACATCGAGAACCATTTTGATGCGAGAATATTTCAGTTGAGATGTTCGTAATCGGTTTATCCCACCATATTCACTGGGACACTGTTCGTCATATCGTAAGCTATCTGTTATGGATTATGTGCACTGTAGCAATAATCGCAGCTGCGTGTGTTTCCGTGCAACGTATATCTCCAGATGCGATGGGTAAGTTCAACTGCCTAGACATCGACGTGCTCATTTTGGAAACGTGATTTCAAACGCACATAAAAACTCGAATAAGTCTCATAATCTCGTGATAGAATTTCTCGCACATAACTTTATAACGTTTTTCCGGGCGTAGGCTTCACTAAAAAGACCAATTCGGAAGACTGTAACGTAAAAATGCAACTGTCGAGCCCAAAACATACTTTTGCAACTTCCGAAAAATACAAGAATCATTCCTTCATATTATACCGTGATGCTGTGCAATCTTCTTTGCGTTATCCTCTCTTAAAGTCACTGCAACAGTTTTTCTTGATAGGATCTGGAATTCCCGAAATGAAGACCATACTACGCGGACTGATTCTGAAGGACTACTTGTCTTGTCGTACGCTGCTAGCAACACTTGTTGGGCTTACGTTCGCTTTGGCAAGTGCTTTACCGATTGGGAAAGCGGTGAGCGAGCGAGTGATTCGCGTTGTAAAATGTTGAATTTTTAGTCACTCAAGATGGATAGAGGTTAACGAATTGAGACTCCAAATGGAGTTTGCACCACTCGATCAGAATCCTACAACATCTGACTGCATACAACTGGCGATCACAATCATTCAAGATATACTAATTTAGATATTCTCTTTAGATCCATTTAGATCCCTCAGATTCTCTTACATTCCAAGCAGTTATAACAGAGATGAATGAATCAGTGACAAATTAAGGGACCGTTTGTACATGTGGCATCGATAATCGCGAATCAACTTAGCAAATTCGCTGCCAAGATGCCAAGTGTTTATGCAAATGAATGCCAACGATCGGAGATGTTTGCTGCGGCGTGTGCCGTCGGAATGGCCAGTACATTCAGTGCACCAATTGGGGGTCTGTTTTGAGTGCTGACCACGATTTCATCACTTTCGCCATCGATGAAAATCATTTCGAAACTCTTTCTGCGTCGTCGAAGAGTTCTTTCTTATGAAGCACTTATTAAAACGCATTCGTTTCTCTGTTCTACCTTATTTGACTAATAAAAGGCAGCAATAGTCACTGGCTAGACGGGTAGTTCTAACACTTAAGTGTTCTCAACTGATTGCTCAAGACAATTTTTCCAATGATGATGAGCGAACGTTGAAAGATGCCAAACAATGTCTGTTTTAGGAGTTCTGTTTTCGATTGAAGTGACCACTACGTACTTCTCGGTATCTAACTATTGGCGTGGTTTCTTTGCTGCAGCCTGTGGCGCTGCCGTATTTCGATTACTTCGTCTGTTCGTATTCAAAACAGAAGGTTGTTACTATCAGCTGAAGCAAACATATTCGATAAATAAGGGCCGATCAAACATGAAATGGAATAACATGTTTTCTTTCGATAATCAACTTCCATCATATATACCAGTGGTTCTCATAAGGGGTAAATTACCAATCTTGCTTAATTTGAAGGTGTCAAAGGGTAATGAAGCTTGTCGGAAAATTTGTGTTTCCTGCAGTTGTTATTTTGTGGTAGAAGTTATTTTTAAGTCGGGTAATTAAATGCGGTTA